ACTTGTGTATGTTTAGATTTCATTATCTTTCCCTAAAGATAAAGAATTTATCCGATGTTTGTATTGTATACAATCAGTAGAGATCGTTAGATTATTGTTTAAGGTTGACGGACACGCATGTCTTAATTATTTTTTTTTTTTTTTTTTTTTTACGAATTGGTCAAACCCAAACTCAAACAAAAACATTGTTTTCAATCGTTATGAGTCTCCCAATTGAATAGAATTTTATTATAAATAATTGTCTTGTAAATGGAATTTTTAAAGCATTCTGAATGTTAAAAATAAAGAAAAAAAGTGTGCAAGAGAATAAGAAAACACTACAAAAAAAAAAAAAAGTGAAGTTTTGTTTTATCGGCTGAAAAATATAGGAAATCCGCTCCCATATTTAAAGGAACCCACACACACAAACAATGATGTGAGTTGTCCCCTTCCATTTTCACGATGTCTCTTAATCGTGTTTTCAAATTGATTTTGTGCAAAAACAATTATATTTTTCCCATTTTGGCGCTGTTAGAACCACCACAAGGTAATTTTATGTAGTCCTGTGAAGTTTGGTTGAAATCGGTTGAAAAATGGAGGAAACCCGATCCAATATATAAATGTTACAGACACACACACACATACACACAATCTGCGTTTTATAATAAGTAAGATATATATATATATTTATATATATATTTATATATATATATTTATTTTTTTTATTTTTCATAAAAATCAATCAAATAATTTAATATGACAGAATAAAAAATTTGATTAATTTTCAAAATTTTTTTCAATGTTATGTAATTTGTTCCGTTATTCAAATTTTAATTTGGCTATCACTGATTTTTAATTTCAGCTCTCAATTTCTTTAAATATATATCAATTAATTATATGCTTTCAGAGAATTAGTATGATTCCAACTAATTTTTAAGATAAATTTTTATGATAACATAATTAGTTAGATAAAATATGATAGATTGTATAAATTAGTCAAAAAATGTTTTTTTTATTCGTTTAATTGATTCTATTTTCCATTTTAAAACCTTTTTTATTTTTAACAAGGCCCAAAACGTTAAGAAATTATCAAAAATATATGTTAATGGGTTCACTGCATCTTTATCGAAACTATCTTTTTTTCTAATTTTTTCTTATCAAAATATTGATAAAATAATTAAACTTGAAATAGAAATTAATTAATATTTGCATCATCTATAATTATATTTAATTTATAATAATTTTATCATTTAAAAAAAATATTTATTGAATTCAAATTAAAAAAAAAAATATATCTAAGAATTTTTACCGGGTTAAATTTTTAGTCATTTCATTATTGGGGCCAGAACAAATGAATATTTTTTGAAGATGTTTTTAATTTAGATTCTTATTATCCAATATATTTTTTTAAAAAAAGGAAATTTTTAACAATCCAAATAAACAATTTGATGGAAGAAAAATTTTCCATTAATATTTTTGAAACCTTAAAATAAATATTTTATGGTGTTTAAAAATAAATATTTTTATTTTTTTTAATTATAAAAGATAAAAGATGGATAATTTTAAATCCTGTCGAATACATTTTTGAAATTTTATTTGAATGATATTAATTACTTTTTACAACATCAAATTCTGGAGTTCATTATATTTATGAAAATCATCTTGATAAAAAATATATAGAAATATTTTTTTCCAAAAAAAAGAAAAAATCAATGATAATCCAGTTCTTCATATTTTAATAGCAAAGTTGGCAAAAAAAAATTTCATTTTTTTTTCAATTATCACATTGAAATTTTCATGACAAAGTTCTTTGAGTTAAAAATAAAAAGAATTTTTTCATAGTTTTATAAAAATTTTTTATAAAGAATTTAAAATTACATTATAAATCAGTTTTAAATTTTTGACCTTTCTCTATTCTATTTTGAAACCTCAAGCGGTGGAAAATTAAATCTCATATTACCAAAAATTAAAAAATTTAAGCTTTTAATTTCAAATTTGCCATTATAGTGGTAGGAAATAAAAATAAGATGAAAATGATCAGGACCAATAAATTGCTTATTCAATTATCCTTGAATTTTTTTATCATGCAAGCTCTGGATATATATAAAAGATTTAACAGGATATATGGGCAACAATAACACAGCATTAACACATTGTTTAGACTTATATATATATTTTATATATATAAATAATATATATATATGATTTAAAAAATAAAAAAGAATGGATAAAATTTTCTCGCATATAAATCTATTTTTATATTATTCAATATAGTTTTTAAAGTTATCCATTTGAAAATTTAGCAAACTCAAGTAAGCCTTTTTGAAATTATAATACCATTTAAAGATACTGATTTGGAAAATTAATTTGGTTTTACTAAAAATTAAATACAATTTTATTATAACATTATTTTTGGTATTATCAATCGAACATTGATTGTGTCAATTTGTTTTTTTACACTACATTTTATAAAAAGATTTTTGATTCTAAAAAATTTTTAAAAAGGTCACTGGCTATTAAATATCACTCAAAAAATAATATAGATATTTCATTAATTGTTAAAAAAATAATAAATTTCAACTTTAAAATAAAAACTTTTAGAAGAATTTTTAAATATATTCATAAAGTTTCCATTTTATATTGATTAAATAACGATAAAAAAATTATTTTTATTTTTTTATGATCAAGAATTTTTTTTATATTTAAGTCAAAATTTTTTTAAAATGAATGGTTATTAAAACTTATGAAATTACAATTTTATTTAATAATTTCTTTGATAATTATTAATTCCTTTTTTTTTTTTAAACTTGACTAAAAATGGTGATTATTTAAATTGCAAAGGCAGAAATTTGTCTTATCAAATTTTGAAATAATTTTTTCTTTAAAATTTTTAATTAAATATTTTCTTTTCTTTTTTTATTTTAGATAAAATAGGTTTGGAAAAAAAGGAAAAAAGAATTATTAAATTTTTATTATTCCGAATTTTTTTTAGGAAAATTTTAATCATTTTCTAAAGAGATCAAAAAAATATTATTTTTAAATATAAATTCTGCAGAGAAGTTTTTAAATTATTTAAATAAAACTGGATTTTATTTTTTCATTTAATGAATTTCATATAATTATAGGTATTTTAATCATTACTTTACTGGTGTGTTCATCTTTTCTCTAAATTCTCTCATTAAGAGAATTGTTTTTTCACATTGTAATTTTAAATTTACCATATCAGTTTGATAAGATGTTTTTAAAAATATTGATTTCCATATTTATCAAAAATGAAAAAATTTAAAATATAGTGGCAATTTATTTCAAAAAAGAAACTTTGACAAAATATTTCTTAACCTATATATATATTTTATAAAAAATTTAATTTTTTCTTAACTATTTTAAACAATTTTTATTATTCATATATATTTCCGATTTTTTAATTAATTTCTTCATGAATTAAAAATAAATAATTAATTCAGAATGGAATGACTGGACTTAAAATAAACAATTTACAATATTTTGCCAGCAAAAGCAGAATTACATTTGGATTACTATGAAAGATAAAATAAACAATGTCCACACAATTCAATATTGAATTACAATTAATATTGTTTTTGTAAAGTTCCCACTTGATCAAATACTATTTTTGTATTAATCAAAATTTATTCTCTATATTTATTTATTATTTTGGTATATTTTTTTATTTAATACAATATGATCAGGGATTAGTCATATACTGAACAGAAAATTTTATTAAAAACCTGTGTAGGGATCTCTGACATAGAAAGTAATAATTCATTTTTAGAGAATCACGCAAAAAAACTCAAAAAAAATGAATACCATCTTCCATAATGACTTACTTAATTTATTAAATAACTTTTAACAAACCAACACAAGTTTGTAAAAGTTAAAGAACTAGCAAGTGATTGTTTTTTTTTTTGTTTTTTTTTTTTGTTTTTTTTTTTTTTTTTTTTTTTTTTTTTTTTTTTTTTTTTAATGCATAAACATCAATCAGAGCAAAAATAATTCTGTGTACAAGAAGTTTGAAAAACACCAATATGAAATTTTCAGCTTTTGAAGTGCAGGAAAGAAGCATCCATCTTTGGAATAGTGGCATCATTTAAAGAGATGCAAAGTAAAAACTAATCATCACACAAGAGAAAAATTTATTTTTTTATAAAGAAAAAAACTTAAATTTTGCTTACCTACTAATCTTATCAAAATAAACCCCCAGAAATAAGAGATCGCATCAGTTGAATTTGAAGGAAATTGAATTATTTTTTACCTGTTTTGACCATGTAAAATAGGGAAACAGTAAAATTAGTTGTGAAAGAGCAAAAGATTATATTTCAAAATGGTGGAAAAATAGTGAAGTTTATAATAAAGTGCATATATAAATATCAGCTACAATAGAAGATGCTTGCTTTCACTTATGGTATTGTTTGGTGGGATGATAGAAAACAAAAACATGAAGACAGAGCAGTGTCTACAGTGTAATGTGTCCACACTTTTATATTTTTTTTTTTACATGTTCTAAAGTATGCTATTAGTAAGAAATGTTTGGGAATCACTGATTTAGAGTTACATTGGTTGTGATTGCAGTAAATGTTCTAATTTAAAGTAGATTTATGGTAATAGATTTATACCGTTCCCTTTCTAACATAACTATAATGAAGTCTTTTTTCATATTCAAGACAGGTTCATTTGTAAATTTTTTTTTAAGTAATTTGTGTGGAGCTATATGCTTGTAAAGGCATTTCACTGAAATGATTTTAATTATGTTAACTTGATGTTGAATATAGTTAAAAATGAGTAAATTACAAATTAACAAGTTTCTTATTTATATAATGCATAATAAGCTTTCTCATTTCTCAGCACTTTGCTCAGGATTACATTTATCCAGAATATTTTTCTAAAAATTTATATTAAGCTATTAAAATTATTTTTCCCTCTCAAATTTTCTCTTTAATTTCAGTTTTACCCTGCAGTTATTGAATCTGTTCCTGATTTGCCCACTTGTGTGGTAACTTTTATAGAGTATGGCAACACAGAAGAGGTGATGCTCACGGATATAAAGCCTATACCTAAAAACTGGGTAAGTGTGTATTTTTTATTTTTTATTAATACTATGATTTATAAGTTTAAATACCTTTCTTGAATTGTACTCAATCTATAATTTTGTTTTTCTTAGAAATGAAAATTGTTCTATTGTTTTTTGTTTTTGTTTTTTTAAGAGGAAAAATTATAATTGAATGCATGTTTCTTCTTGCAGAACATTTTTATGTGTAATATTCTTTTATGATGTGCTTGATTATGGCTCTACATATAACATAAACTAAAAAAATAAAAATATATATCATACATGAAAAAGTAGCTGTTACTAAAAAAATATTCTGATACATGAAACAAATGACATGACTTCTGGGTGCCCAATATTACTATTTCTCCTGCTGGTTGCCATTTTACCCACTGATGGACATGTCTGCCTACAAAAGTCTGGTGTCAGGATGCTGAAGGTAATATCAATTAGCTAAGTCACAAACCTTTTACTTGTAATATATGACGGACCCTCCAGAAATCATTCCATCAGCTCATCAGTGGGTAAAGATAATGGACACGATCTTAAAACAGCTAACATGGAAAAAGCCATGGGATAAGCATGAAAGTCTGGTTGAGTCCAGAAATTTTCAGAGATTATCACTGTAGCTCATTGATGGTTATGACAAGGCTGAGCCTTATTCTAGAGATAAACTCTCTTGAATTCAAAGTTGTCTCTTTGAATTATAGGGATCCTAGAAATGAACATATGCATACTACTTCAATTAGTATATTTGCCTTGATGACATGTAAGATAGGCTGTTTGACAGCTTGGAAGATTTTCTAAGAAGCATCATGGGTATTGATGCTTCTTGTCATTTGTTGACAAGGTAGCTTAGAGAGGAACTCGCTTGGTTTTTGAACAGTCTCCCAAATTTCTGGAAATGTCAGTTGTGCAGATGAAACTCTCTAGGAAATTTTTTTTCTTTTAATCCTGAAAATGTTTTGAAAAACTTTTGTTTGGATGTGGGGTAGGATTTTAGAATTGCACAAATCCCCCCCCCCCAAAAAAAATTGCCCCTTTGGAAATCAGTAGCACCTCTCTTATCTTTTATTTCCATATATCAATTTACTTCCAAGATTGTAATTGGCTGCAGTTGAAAGTTCACAAACTTATTCTACATCTAATGAACTTTGTTGGCCTCAGAGGATGATCAATTACCATTTACTCTCTTCTGAGAAATGCCTCACTCTATTTTGCTGGAAATAGCATTCTGTATTTTTTTTTTTTTTTTTGCATCTGAGAGATTAATCTTGCATGTCCCATGTTATTACTTGAGATCTTGCAGTTCTCCACACAAAAAAATAAAAGGAAAAAAAAACCTGATCTGGATTTGACTTTTGTGTATACACACACACACACACACACACACACACACACACTTTTGATTATAAAGTTAAAAGTTCAGTTTTTGATAATGAAATTAAGTGTACAAATTTCAGTCCACAGAATTAGAAGTAACTTAAATTCTTTGTTTACCCTCTTAGCCGTTTTTGATAGTGGAGATTAAATCAATAGAAAGTTAATTTTCTTTTCTCTTTTCCATTAAATAAGATAGGAACATGCCCACATTTCTGTTATTCAAAAGGTTACGTGGATAGCATATATAAAAATAGTATTTTAAGACATTGTTATGTTTATACATTCTTTTTATAGATACAAATATTTAAGTAAATGCTCTGTTTATAATAATCAGTATTAAACAACACTTACCGGCCTGAATGTCAGAAATTTTCATAGAAAATATTCGTCCTCTGACAGGATTTGAACCTGTATCCTATAAAGAATCATCATATAGCCTACATGCCTTTTTAAATGATTCGGCCACAGAGGAGCGTTCGGTTAGCAAGGTCAAATTTACTGCTTTTAAACTTCAATCATCCATGATATGCCATGAGCAAAAATAGTATTACTGACTTCTATATTTTGAAACAAAATACAACCAATTTTCCTACATTTATAAACTTACTATGAAAACTTGACTCTGTTTATAACAATTGCTCTTTGTATGCCTTTTTGTATTCATCTTATTCTTTTGTACAATGGAACTTTGGTTATTTGCCATAATCCATTCCAGATAGTCAGCTGAAAACCAAATTGCATGAAAACAGATAATATTCTCATAAAAAAATAATGTAAATCCATACTACACACCAAAAATATTAACCACAAATACATTTTATACAGAATAACTGTAGTTTTTTGAACCAGCCTCTACTAACCTCTAATTTGCCACCAGATTCCATTTCCTCAGAGACGGTATATCCTGCTATTTTCATTTAGTCACACCACCACCACCACCACCAACTTTTCAACATCTTCCATTTTTTGTAATCTGTTTCAACAACATATTTAAAACCTGGAAAAAAAAAATTAAAGCATTTTTTTTTTTTTTTTTTTTATAGTATGGAGTTGATTGTTTATATTGATTTGCTATGCATCCTAACAAGATCAGCCATGTGAACACAAATTTTCATATTTTGCTACTTTTCTAAATTCTATTGTTCTCAATTCGTTTTTCTTTGGGCATTCTTTGGATCCATGGTGGCTTATTTAAAAAGTAAATGAAAAACAAAACAAAAAAACACTATTTAAAAAGGAAAAATTTTAGACTAATGCTAGAGATGATCAGCAAGAGACAAAGTAGGCTGTCACACGCACATACACACACAATGCTTTGTGTGGGAGCTTCAATTTGGGAAGTCATGTAGCAACAAGTGGACAGGAATGTAGAATGTATAGGTGCTCAAGAGGGGATGTACAATTTCTGAGACATATTTTTGCTAACAATAACAGAGACACTCAATAACCATGTTTCTACTGTAATGTAGACTGTTTTCTATGGTGAAAATCATTGAATTTTTTTTTTTATTTTCTAAACCCCAAATTTGTTGGGTACTATAAAAATTAAATATAGGGGCAGTGATAAAATAGCAAATAGCTGAGTTTTATTTCTTTAATCAAAGCTCAATTATTTTTTGTGGTTCTTTGCTGAAGTTTTTTTTTTTTTTTTTTTCCACTTATGAAAGATAACTCTGCATAGACTCTTCATGTGTTTTGACTTTATTGATTTTTATTTATTGTATGATAAAATTCTTTTCATGTCTACAAAATTTTGTACTAACAAATGTAAAATTATGTATATTAAAAATTACTTTATCTTAATAAAAGAATTACTTTCAGCCTTTTTCTGTTTTCTTTATTTTTCTTATACACAATAGTAAATGAATTAATTTTTTTTCTCTTATTCCTTAATCAGCATGAAATTTCAAAGAACTCTAATTCTCGTGGAAAGGGCCCTACAGGACAGCAGCAGGGCCCATTCCACAACACTGGCATGATTCCTCATTCTGGAACAATGATAGCTCATCAGCAAATGAATTCACACCAGACTCCAATGGCTGCTGTAGCAGCAGCCGCGGCAGCAGCAGCAGCTGCAGCTGCAGCTCAACAACAAATGACAGTCTCTAATTCTCAGTACCCTGGGGAACAGCTGATGATGCAACAAAGCCACATCTCTACCATGGAATTCCGTAGAGGTGGAGGTGGTTCACCATATGCTCGTAGAATGCAACAACAACAACAGATGATGATAATGCAAGAAAAAGTGAAACCTACCCAACAATTTTATATGCCTCCTGCTCAGAGAGTCATGAAACAATAGCAAACATTGCTAGAAAGAAAAATATATTATGCCCATTTAACTTTAGTGCTATTACTATAAATATTGTATAATGTAATGAAAATAGAAAAAATAGAAGATTGCAATCTGTTTTATCAAATATTACTTTATGCCCAATGTTGGCCTGCAAGTTGCTATTTCTGGCTTGCTCACAAAACCTTTCTAAAATTCTGGGATTATATACAAAGATTAATAAAAAAAAAAAATAAAAAAAACCAATTTTGATTAGAATGATGGGGAATTTTTTTTTTTTTTTTTTTTTTAAATATGGACTTAAGTAAACCTTTGTATGTGTGCAGTCCTTTAAATTTTTGTTCTTTCAATTGGATGAATTGCTTAGTTATACTTTTTTTTTTTTTCTCTAGGCAAAGAAAATTCTTAAAATTTAAGGTTTTCATGGTATGTCTACTTTGATTTCAAAGAATTGGCTAACATTATATAATTCTTTTTTATGTTAAAATACATTCTTCTCCCAAGTTCATATGAAATGTTTGAATGGTTTCTTCACATTTATTAATTTATAGATCGATATATGAATTTAAATCTTAAGTTTCATGGCACTCTACTAAGCAACAGGATTATTGCTTTGACATACAAATGTTGATGCAAACATGCATATTGACAAGTCTGTTTTGATAAATGTGCCTGTGTTTTAACATGAATTTGCTTCATCTTATTCACAAGTTGCTCCATTAACTAATTTAGAATGCATTTACTCTGTACTCTCATTAAGAAATAACTAAGGCATATTTTAATGTCCTCATTTTAAATAATAGGAATGATCTTGATTCTTTAAAGCCATTTACTTATTTTTTATTAATAAATATAAAGTGATACAGATGATAAATTTATCAGCTCAAATTGGAAACTGGAATGTTGGTTTCATTAATGGATTTGTCTTTTTTCATTGATTTATTATAAATTGTTCTTCTTAATAATGATATAAGCTTTTCATAAATTTAACTTTTTTTTTATTTCTCATTTAAGATTTTGACTTGATTTAAATTTTTTTTTTTTTTTTTTTTTATTATATGAATTGAAAAAACTAATGAAAGAATATTATCCTCACTTTTAATCTATTAATAAGAGTTAAAACAAAGTATTCTTATCACTCAAAATTCAGTGCAACTTAAAAAGAAAACTTTAATATCTTTTTGGAAATTCATTGTTGAGGCTTGTGTTTGAAACTTAGAATTCTGAAGTGGTATGAATATATACAATATTTTGTGAGTAAAGCATTTTATTCAAAGCTATAAAAAATACATAGCATAGGAGGAAATTGATATATAATAATTAATGTAATGAAATGATCTGTATAAAATATAAAACTGATGGCAAGTACACTACTTTTTTCTTTTTATTCTGCATCTGTAATTATCTTTGGTGAGTTGGCTGACAATATCAAATGCCAGCTACAATTTATACACCAAGTAATAAGATATATTTTTTCTTTTTCTCCAGGATAATATATATATATATATATATATATATATATATATATATAGGAACTGTAACTATTTCAAATGGTTCAGTATTTGTATACATTTTGTAAGTATGTGTTCAAGTTTTATTTCGTGCATAAATATAATAATAAATTTAAAAAATGAATTAATAGAACAATTACTATGAACAGTAGCTACAAATCTACAAGTTAGGAAATTATTTTATTTGGTATAATTGACTTTTTTTTTTTTTTTTTTTAATAATAATAATAATAAAAACTTCTAAGAAACTCTAAATTTTGTCAATTTCAACTTGTACAAATGCAAACTATAAATTCATTAATAAAGTTTTTTTCTTTTCATTTGGTGAAAAATCATAAGTGACAAATATACAGAAAAACAAAACATTTCCTGAAATAATTTGAATGCCCCATTTATTGAAAATTACTGTTTTAAGTTCTTTAGTTAAATGAGAATGGATTGTTGAATTAAAAAAAAAAAAGTCCATCTTGGATTTTTAATACTAACAGTCTCAGTAAAACAAGTTAATTTTTATATGAATTATATTTTGATGAAACCTTTCATTTAATTTCATTTCCTTATTACATTACCTTTTATGACTTGTTTGTTTTCATGTTATTTTTGTCACAATGTTTATGCTGCTTTTAACATTTTGTGACTAAATTTAAACTTGCATCACGTCTTTGGAAAATTGTCCAACCTGTAATAATTGATGGTCACAGAATGTGAGTTTTAACATAGTGATTAAAAAAAAAAAACAAATTTGAAAAATAAACTAGAAGGAAAAAAAAAAGAAAAAAAGCAATGCTTCATCTAAAATTTTGGTAAAATCCGACATATTACTCTATACTTTAAAAAAATGTATCTAATTACTTGAAGACTATAATAAATTATGTAAAAACTGTCCTTGAGGAGGCTTTGAGAAACAAATATCAAATAACCAAATACTTTGAAGTTTAAATAAACTTTACAAATTGTGTTGACAATTTCAACATTTCTGTAAATGCCAAGCTTTACATCTTGTGGTTTGGATGTTTGTGACAAGTGAAAGTATATTTAAATTATCCATTGGATGTTTATTTTTAGAAGCTTTTGATTGTGTGAGAGATCTTTTGCAACTATTTTCTCATTGTTTTGTGGAATCTGTTTATATATATATATATATATATATATATATATATATATATATATATATATATAATATATAAAATCATGTTTCAAACACAATTTTTTTTTTTTTTTTTTTTTTTTTCCAAGGCAAGCTTCCCCTACTTGAAAGATGTCAAGTATTTCCATTTAATTAACTTTGTGTTATACTAAGCAGTCAATTATATCTTGGATCCTGTAAAATTATAAATAGCAGAATTTTGTTCACAATAGGCATTCTTATTGCTATCTTGCACTTGACCATCATTATCTATTTTAACCCCTACAGAGTCCCTATGAAAAGTGGAATTTTATACATACTTATTTTTACTTCATTGTTATAGGGCAATCTAATTGTACCAATATGCAGTTTATTCTGTTTACTTATTTTCAGAAATAAGTCTCACCTAGTCTTGCATGACATTAAATCTCTCATATAGAACATTAACTACAGGCAAAAAAAATACTGTTTCCTTTTCATGATACACAACTGTCTTTAAATGTATATACATACCTGTAAGACTGTTAAATCAAATTTCTTTGCAATAGCAATACTCTGAATAAACTAAGGTTGTTAAATCTAAGGCTTTGATTTTGATAGTCTTCACAACTCTTAACTTCCTTTTCAATATTGAGCAACTTGTCATTTTGCTTTTAATTATATTCTCTAGTACAGTGGATATATTCTTTGCAAAGTACAATGGCTTGGAACTTATTTTCTTTTTACATAACACAAAATTTATTAATTCATTTCCAAAATGAATCTCTTTTCAATTGTTCAAAAGGTAGATTCTCAATTATAACCCAGAGAAAGAGACTTCTTGAACTTTGCAGACTTTGTTAAATCTCATAGCAACTGCAACAGTTCATCTCTGCAAAAGGCACCATCCTGTATCTTAAAGGTCATTACCTCAATATGCTTTCTGAATGTTTCATTCAATTCTGGATGCTTAAAAGGCAAATATTTATTGTAAACGTTTTGTAATTGTTTGCCAACTCACTTATAAATATCTCCCGAAAAATTCCAAAAGATATTTCCTCCTTCTCTTCAAAATTATTTAGTAAATTTTCTTTCTTTTTAACCTAATTTTAATTTCTGTCCTTCATTTAGACAGTTTTAGATATGACAAAAATGTGTCTGTCTCCTATAATAAAATGCTGCAAGATATTTTCACCACACAAGATCTGTGTGTCCCTGGAGATAGTTTTGACTTAAAACTAAATTATGTTTGCATAAAGGTTTGTTTTTCAGAAACTTAATCATTTTGCCATAAGTGATTTATCATCTTTATTTTTATAATTTTAAGTTACTTGTCTACCTTGTCTTTTATTGTAGTGATGTGCTATAAAATTCTAATAAAATGTTGTGGTTTTCAGCTATATTATATAATTTTAAGTTCCTTAAATTTGCTAACTCTAAGTCTCTTGAGGGATGGGGTAGGGAAAATATTGGTTTGCATTTGCATAAATACTTAGATGCATGTCTGTATATCAGACATTATTATTATAATAAAATCAACAACAATATATAATGTATGTCATTACATATATGTAATATTATATTGAGATACATAATGATATGCATGTTATGTATTTATATATGTACTGTATGACTTTATTCACATTGAAAACCTGTCCTTATACCTACTTTATAAAAATAAAAAATGGTAAGTAAATCATTTAATTAGGAGTTTTTTAAAAATTGAAACCTAAATGATTTTTCTTCTTTCCTGTCCTCTTTTCTTTTTTTTTTTTAATGCATGTTTTCTGGTTTCATGCATAACAATTTATACTTTTGCATTTTTATTTTGGCAACCATTTTATATAAATAAAGACAATTTAAAAAAAAAAACAAAAAAAAGTTACACAATGTATTATATTGAAAGAAAACAAACTTCATGTTTGTTGTTGTGTAGTGGTGGAGAAGAGATTAAAAAAAAAATTCCTTTTTTTTTTTTTTCATGCTTCACCCAATATATTTGCTCATTGAAAGCAACTCCAGTTGTGATTGATTGATTGGTTTTTTTGTTTTTTTTTTTTGTTTGTTTTGGGGTTTTTTTTGTTTTTTTTTACTCGGATTATTCCCATTCTCTTCATCTCCACCACAGGTATTAAATAGTAAACTAATTGTACTAACTTTTTAAATAGAGGAAAAAAATAAAAAGCCTAATGGAAAGAGATGAGGAAATCAACTCTCCTCTGGGGAATATTAGTAAGAGCTTCGGGTTCTTTCTCTTGGAAATACTTACAGTATAAGCTGTAGTAATGCATTTTTAGTTGGTGTTTTTCTTTTTTAAATTTCTACCTGATTGAAGAAAACCATTTATAAGAGTACCCTTCATCACATTTAAAATTATACTAACTTTAACTAAA